AAAATAGTGGCTATGTTATAATGACTTTGCAAATACTGATTATTTTTCGATTACTAGTTTGAAAATTGGTTAGCCATGCTATTTACACGCGTTAATCGGGTCGACTTATAAGAGCAACAACTAATCGAGTCGGGTATCTGATTCGGAAATGCTGAATCAGTGCAATCCAGATTCGCGAATGGCGCGTGTCCTCAAGCACGGAGACCCAAAAAGGGAGGGAACGCAAAAAGCTACCCAGCGGTAAATTTTATCCATAAATGCATTAAAATACACAAACTCTGCATCTAACGACATATTTGTATAAATTTGGCGTATCGGTGGTAACATATAAGTATGATAAAGGACGGAGATGACCATGGTATAACAACTGAGGGTTGATCTCAAGATGATTGATGTCAAAGACGGGCAGCTGGGACGAGTAGACAACGGAAGCATAAGTACAAATATAGACACAAGGAATATTCTTTTGGATATTCCTTATTTTGTACTTTTTAGGATTTTTGGGAAATGTCTCTTATAAATAGGAAGAGGTAGGGAACAAAAGGGGGATCTTCTTCACTTCTTGATAATAGCACTTTATGTAAAAGAGTTGACCTGAGAATATACTAAAGTTGCCTTATTCATTGATTACCTTGTTCAAGCTCACATTTTCGGTCCTATATTTGCAAGATCCAAGGATCCGAGAACTCTCTATTATTCCATTCATTCCACATTATTGTCAGATGAAGGAATCATTTGAGTCTCACAATAATTGGGAAGTAAACCCCTTTTTGTTATGCTAGTTGCATTAATCTATATTTATTGCATATTTATGTTGTAGCATTTATGAGCATTTGATCAGCGTAAGCATACTAACTAGCATCATCCATCTTGCCTACTTCATTTTTTCAACCCGTTTTGGAATGCTGCTACCGCCATCCCTTCTGATACGTTTGGTAATCCCATTCTCACCCTGTTAAACCAAGCGAGGAAGTCCCTTAGTCCCTCACCTGGAGATTGCCTAAAAGGAACGAGCTCAGAAGCATAGCAATTAACGAAGTCGGGGTCTGAACCCAATGATCTAAAAGACGTTATTAAGGACCCCGACATCGTGGAGGCTGCAGGATCGACAAAAGAAGATCTCGGCCCCGTCCAACTGGAAAGTAGCAACAACAACATAAAGGCTTATATAGGCTATAAGCTCTCCGAGTCAGGTAAATTTCATGAATTTTTAACCAATAACGCCGATATGTTCGCTTTCTCCCATGCAAATATGCCAGGGATTCCAAAAGACGTACACACAAATTGAACGTCGACCCATTCTACCCCTAGTACGACAAGCAAGAAGAAAATTCAACGCTGTAATAAACGAGGCCGCCAGCGAGAAAGTGTATAAATTACTCGCTAACGGCTCCATCTGAGAATCAAAGTATCCTCAGTGGGTCGCCAATGTAGTCATGGTCAAAAAGAAAAACGGGAAATGGCGAATGTGCGTGGATTTCACGGACCTAAACAAGGCTTGACCAAAGGACTCCTTTCCTCTGCCTCATATCGATCAGCTCATTGACGCAACGGCAGGGCACGAGTTGTTGAGTTTCCAAGACGCTCTGCGGTCCGTATAGGCTCCCCGCCTTCATGTACCCCATTGGCCCTAGAAGACCTCCCCTCCTTAATAACATCTGCCATAAAAACGGCCCCAACGTCTGGCATAAGTGCATGCGCCGCTTCCTGAGCAATGATTCTCTTTGGTTCAATACCAGTGAGGGCGGCCTTCCCAAGTTCTACTCTTCGCCTCTTGCTCGACGGCGACTCCTCTCCATTAGACGATTCGTCTACGAGATGGTAAATAGGCCGGGAGGAGATCTCATCCCGTGCAGCAACAGTCTAAGGGGGGGATCCTTCGTTGATAGAGCCTGAGTGCGACCTCCACGGACGGACTCAGCCAAAGTAAATTGCATCCCTGCCGATGCAATAGCCTGGTGAAATGCCGGCACTAGAGCTTTCTTTTTGGAAGCCCGTCGACCCAGCATCATAAGTAGGTCGTATCAACGAATAATGGCAAACAACAGAAGGCTGAAGCAAAAGTAACACTTACTAGACGGGATCTTCGGTCCAAAGCGTTTGTAGAAAATCGACCAATCACGAATACCCGCCATGTGGGGCAACACGCGTCCCACCCAGTCTTCAATACCGAAGACAGGGGAGGGTGCACGCCTCTCAGCTGAAAAAACAAAGAAGCCACAAATGAGCGAAAAGCGAAAGGACGAATAGAAGACAACAAGCGTATGCCAAAAACACCTACGATTATGGTTCCGCTGCTCGGGAAACTTAGTCGAGTCCGCCACCAAGTGTTCGATTTTGATAAAAAATTACTTGCGCCAAAACTTCCGATTCGTCCTGTCGTCCATTCTGACTATCAGCCCTCTGGTCCCACGATGCCGCAGGTGTATCATAGTGCCTCTGTAAAAACTTGGTGAAAATAAGTGCAATAAGTAGCGGACATCGACCTCACAACCAGCCAATTTCGCATACTTCGTCAACATCAGAAAAGCTGTATACAAATACGGAGATAGTAGTTGCCCGGGAAGACGTTATAAAACTGGCAAAATTCCTCCGCCAGCAGAATAAGTGGGAGAGTATAGCCAATCAAGAAGGGGTAGACGTAGAAGGCACAATATCTAGGTCGATGGACCTCCACGATGTCGCCACCAGCCGGCACTATCTTGACGTAGGAAGGGATGCGATATGTAGATCGAAGCTCAGCTATATGAGACGGTCCAGTCTCGGAAATCACCTGAGAAGGAGCAGGAGCAGGTTCCTTGAGAATGTCGTTTCTAGATAAGGGATTTCTGGGGACTATCTCCTCCACGGCAGGAAAACTCTCATCTTCTTCAGCCATGAGATCCTTACCACCGGAAGGAGGGGCCACCGATAACAGAGTGGCATCAGAAATTTCATCGTGAATACGAAGGGTTCACAACATTTCGACAAAAAGGTATACTACTAAACCTGAAAAAGAAGGCAACAACTAGGTAAGAATGGGAGATATGGAATCGTGAAAGCAAAGTCAAGAGCAGACACTGGCAAGAGAAGGGAAGTGTGAAAACTTCTAAAAAAACGAAATCTCCATCTATTTATAAGGCTGGATGGCGCGAGAATCGAAGCAAAGGATTGTCAATGGCACCAGAACCGAAGCGACAAGCGTAGACACTGTCTCGGGAAGATGCGTAATGATGACGCGCGTGGCTATGACGTCACCTCATGGTAGCCACACCAATCACGACTCCACTAGTCGCGTCGTTCTATCCATCTTGGTCGACCCTACTTATTCAACGACCAAATTCTTCTGAAGCAAAGGCAAATCAGGTCCGCTTATCGAGGTCGTGCAGGACCACGATTCAACAAGCGGAGGGACTAACTGTATAGGTCTATATTTGGCATATCGATGGTAACGTATAAGTATGATAACCATGGTATAACCACTGAAGGTTGATCTCAAGACGATTGATGCCAAAGACGGGCAGCTGGGACGAGCAGACAACGGAAGCATAAGTTCAAATATAGACACAAGGAATATTCTTTTGGATATTCCTTATTTTGTCCTTTTTGGGATTTTTGGGAAATGTCCCTTATAAATAGGAAGACATAGAGAACAAAAGGGGATCTTCTTCACTTCTTGACAAGATCACTTCATGTAAAAGAGTTGACCTGAGAATATACTAAAGTTGTCTTATTCATTGATTACCTTGTTCAAGCTCACATTTTCGGTCCTATATTTGCAAGATCCAAGAATCCCAGAACTCTCTATTATTCCATTCATTCCACGTTATTGTCAGAGGAAGGAATCGTTTGAGTCTCACAATAATTGGGAAGTAAACCCCCTTTTTGTTATGCTAGTTGCATTAATCTATATTTATTGCATATTTATGTTGTAGCATTTATGAGCATTTGATCAGTATAAGCATACTAACTAACATCATCCATCTTGCCTACTTCATTTAGTACTCGGTCTAACCTTAACTAAATTCATCCACTAATTCCCTTCCTCCTACACGCTAACACACAGTTCTAATTTCGGAGCTATGGTTAAACTTTGATGGATAGAATATCTATGGACCTAAGGTGCGCTTAAGATGGACTGGATACTCGGTACCGTTTTAAAAAACCTATGCTCTGTATTATTTTAATATTGATTGATGTTTCTATTGAGTTTTTCTTTTGATTAATAATGTATAGTTTGCTGTCAAATTGAAGTTGTAATACGCACGATATAATCATCAAATCGTTTCAAGAGGAGTACGTGATTTAACAGCGTGATTCCGGCGTAGTTTATCTCTGTGTTATGACTTAAATGTGAAGCTTCATCTGTTTGAGGAGTTGATAATTCTGGTGGACGTACACTTGCACATCATATCTCATTATCTGATGTGCGTTGTGGCTGATTTGGCCACTGGTTGAATCTATTTCTTTCGATTCGAACCATGTATATACATGTAAACAATTTAAGAACCATATCTGTGAATTGAGAACATTAACCACTTCTGTGATTGTGCAGGTTGAGAAGTGGTCATTCATCATGCACTTGCAATAGCTATTTGGAACGTCAAAATTGTAGAAATTGTATTTCTCAGCTGATGGCAAGGCCGCCCTTTCCAGCAAGTTAAGAGACTTGTTACACTGATGCTGTACGTGTGTGTATATAAGCGAAAGTGAATCCAGATGAATGTAAACTCTATGGATTCAAACCTCTAAGGTTTTTAGTATTGAACCCATAGTATTTTTGAAATTACAGGTCCATGTCTTATTTTTCATACTTTTAGTGGAGTTTTTTACACATAAATTTATGTTCCGTGTAAAAAGTACTGATTTTGTCTGAACCTAGTAACTCAACACTGCATCCACCCCTATATATAAGTTACTATATAGAAGGCTGGTATCATGTATACATGTCTGTACCATTAGCAGGTGAATTCACATGTTTACCTTTGCGTATTATTTCATATGTAGCAGAGAACAGGAAACATTACAACTTTGTTCAGTTCAGGCTATTAATACTTAAAAGTAAGATAATGGGCTCTGTAAGTCCATTATCTTACAGAATTCGATCGAACTAAATAGGAATAAACTGATTCAATATATTGTAGCTATTTAAAGAAACATCATAACTGTTATTTACAAAAAAAAATTATCATCACATATTCGTTTCTACTTTATAAGTTAACAAAATACCTATCTTCTTTTCACCATCTGGCTTAGAACTGCATGATATTGAATGCTGTTAGCTTGTTTGGCATGATTACCTGGATAGCTATATTCAGTGTGCTGCTCCATGGTCTTCATCTGTTTTTCCTTTAGTCTTGTTTAGCTTGCTGGCTGGAAAGTGCAACCGTGCCATCAACGGTCGAGGTGCTCGGGTCTTCTGATCAAATCCCCGCACACAAACAAACCCTGGAAAAATACAATAGCTATTCATCAGAAAAGCAAAAATGTTTTGCAGCAGGGTACACCAACTTCTTCCTGTTAGTTTCTGAACTGATTACTACTCTTTGTTCATAGCTAAATTTACCATTTATCCAATGCTGTGGAAGGCAATCATGAAACAGGTCCTAGGTCTTCTGATACTTCTATATCATTTAAAATTATGACTATAATATATATTTTTTTTAACATGGTATGTTAAAATTTAAACAGACTAGACTGTGATCCATTTTATCTATTTGTTTTACAGTATGCCATCCCGACATAAAGCTAGTTTAAAACACATGTCTTTCAGGGTTTGACTTTGTTGAAACGGATAAGAAGCTAATCACCGCTAAAACTGAAGGATTTTCCATCTACATACCTCTCCAAAAGCAGTGTTGTATACTTTCTGTGGTTAGTCCTGATGAACACGAGAGATTTCAATGTTAATTTTACTTTCAAAACTTTCTAAATGAGGTTTCATCACTTTAGTGGTTTTTTCACCTTTGAATATAGTCGGTATTGAGGTTCCAAAGTAGACAGTACGCCGTGGGAGATTCCACAGCCAATCCCTTGGGACATTAATTGGGTTGAGGCTGGAGTCATGGTCTGCGAACACCTGCAAAAATAATTTGTACACTAAAAACCTCAATATTTGACATAGAAGCTGTCTTTGACGTGTGAAACCTGTACATGAGCTAAAAGTTGGTTATATTCACCTCATTGACCTGAAAATAGGTACCATTGAGTGGAAAGCTTCCTCTCATAGCTGTTCGACATGGTATCTATTGACAAGAATAACAATTAACACAAACTGATGTATCTCTTTGGTCATTTACTCGTATAAAAATGACCACTGTTATAGTCTACGGGTTTTCGTACCAGAAGAGTCCCTCTTACTGTCTGAGAATGTGCTTCACGTATGCTGTTGCATGAGGAACATGTCTCGTTTTCACATAGTTTGCCAGATTCTTGAGAGTTGCACTGTGTTTCTGGAGGTTGAAAAGAATTTGCTGTTTCACCTGATATGAATTTGACACAAGCGGTAAATCAGTTAGTGCTGAAAGGGGGATATGAAAGTTAACTGATTTTACCTACAACTCAGACTAACCCATGAGATTTGTACCCTAGAGTTACCAAAGTGATAGGCTATCTCAACAGTTCACTAAGCATGACTAATTAGCTAATTCATCTATTTTCCACATTACAAGAATATTGTGACAGGATCCCTTCCAAAAATCTCTTTCATATATAGCATTGCAGTTCTTGTTATCCTACCCGGTGTCCAAATAGCAAGAAGATAGAAGCAAGGATCATCTGGTTCTCGTTTGTCCAACTGCAAAATGAAAAATGTCATTATTTGGAGGATTAATTTCTATATCTGCTTGGCTGCTGGTTACATGTTGGACATAAAACTACTGTGGAATCACTAACCCCTTCCAAAAGTGGATGAGAATCTGGAAGTTCATATCTGTAGGAGGAAAAACAATTGAGTGAGTACAAGAAGTTCTTCAAACATTGTATTACCTCGAAAAGAACAGTCTATTCTTGTCTGCTGAGTCAGTGCTTTTTTTTTGGGCAGCATAATTCTATTGTTATGATGTAGGATCAGGATTATTTACTTACACTTGATGTTCAGTTCTCAGCCGGCTGACATTCTTAAGTTTAGGCATGGGAATTGATGCAGCTTCTGAAGTTAAGGCTACTAAGGCATTCGACATTTCTACCTGATGAAGCTCCATATTGTTTTCGACATACTTCTTTAAATTTTGAGTGAACTCTGCCATATTCAATTCAATTGTAGGAATTTCACAAGGATCTTCAAAGTAATTGTCCTCTATGTCAATTTCTGGTGCTTGTATTTGCTCTTGCTCAGGTGTGGCAGGAAGTTCAACAATGGGCTCTGGTGTTGCTGGCACTTCAATAATAGGAGCTGAGTTGATCAACTTCTGATGCTCCACTGGTTGTTGATTACCCGGAGGTAATGGCAGAGGCAGGTGAGTGAAGTTTTCCCTTGGATTGTTGTTAGAGGCTTTGTTTTCTGTTGCAGACGCAATGCTTTTTTCTTCCGACACGGGAAGGGCAAGCCTCGCACTGAATGGTGCATTATCATTAGATCCAGTTTATGAAATACAATGTACTTCATCAAAGAAATACAATGTTTCTGAATCTTTGAACAGATAAAATAGCCATTCAAGTCTTATAGTCTCAGTTAATGTGCTTGCAGTATGGATATGACCAATAAGAGAGTTCTATTAGCTATCTTAGAAATAAGTACATTTAAAAATTTTAGCATGAAATTGCTTCGTCAGTGACTGGAGTTTTCTTATCCAGATGCCTCATGGTTGTATTTTATATATTGGCGTATTAGCCTGAAACAAGCTAGTGGTTCACTGACATATAGTAGATTTTGCATACCTAAAACATAGTGGAACTATGATCCTTGGAATAGTTTATGTACTAGAAACAAGATAGTTGGACACACAAGACAGAAGTATTTTAGCTGCAGAAACAGTAATAAGCTAACCTTGCAAAGGCACTTGCAAAGTGTCTGCATTCTCCTCTCAGTGGACATGCGTTGCAATTGGGTTTGCTTTTTGTACAGAAGACCTATATGAGTTGCAAGAGTGGCTTTAGCCTTTGATTGCAAATATCTACTAGTTTTAGGAGATATCATCTAATAGCATTGACATACCTTTCCGAAGGTGATCATATGGTAATGTAGCTCATATCTGTAATTAAGAGCTTAAATAAATGATCTGTTACTTGTTGGAAGAAAACAAAAATTGCTTCTAAACTAATGAAGAAAACAAAAATTGTTTCTAAATAGTGCGCACATGCATTGTACATAAGTCCCTCTGACCAAACTCTGAATCAACCTTGCTACTATTTTCCTCACTTTATTTAAGTAGACAAATACTTCTATCACTTGATTTTACCAGAAGATTGACATTGAAATACTTACATTTAGTTACAGCTTAGGGCTCGATATCTGCGAGTGGTCAAATTATGACACTACAATTGCGAAGGACACCAATACGTACATACATACATATATGTCTGTGGATGCTACTTACAATGTTCTTTGATCAAGCTTGCAGAGACGTGGCCATAGGTACTTTTGGATTGACTCCAGTACTGGGTACCTGTAGGAATACCACAGATTTAGCCTTGCACCATGTATGCAATTAGAGATATTTTAGAGTCAGGAATACTCACAGCTCAAGAAGATGCAATTGTAGTGACTCAGGCAACGGCTGCAGGGGCACCCACCCTAGCCTAACAGCAATACGCCCAACATTTGTGTCAACCTTATTACAGATACACAGTCATTAATGTGATTGAACTATTTCTCATATATTAACTCTTCCAAAACTGGTTCTAGATCTTACTGGGAAAGCTAGGTGGTGAAGTGTTAAAAGTCTCACACACTCCACGCTCTTCAGACCCAAGCCCCTTATGCTCAATAGATACTCTCTGAAACCATACATTTGAAGTGTGTTAAAGTTTGTAGATGACTACTATTTTAAAGGTGGAAGATTATTTGGAACAATTGCTAGCTTACTTTGCTTTGTCTGGTGGAACATCTCTCAGCCATTCAAGATCAATGCTTCCATGTTCACTGACAATCCGGTTAAGAAAGTTCTGCAATAGTAAGTTTAATATCATTGAGCAATCACTTGGGATTCCAGGCCAAATAATTACTGTATATGTATATGTTCTCTTGTCCTCAGATATTGCAAAAAGGAAATACACATGTATGTACCTTGATCCTCTCTGCCAGCTTGTTGTTCATTCCTCGTTCTTTAATTGTGTGGGCTATCTCATTGACGTTTGCGCACCTCACTGCTTCCCAGTCCAGTGAGTCCATTGTGTTCGCTGTCCTTTCTCTTTTCTTGCCGTTGGCCTGGGCCTCTAACCGTAAGCTGTCCCAATCAATGTTCTCTTTCTCCTTCCCGAGCTGTCCTTTTTTTGCTTTAGAAGGATTGTCATTTACACTGTCTACTTTGCTACAAGCATGATCACTGACATTTTTCAAGTTTGACTCCACAGCTCTTTGCTCAGACTTACATGAATCAACAACTATGCTGGCCCTTTCTGTGACTTCTATATTGGTTTCTGAAGAGGTTGGTGCTTCTGGAACTTGGGGTACATTGCAATTTCTATGTTCAGTTTGAAACTGTAGTTTGGCATTGACTTCTGCATTATTAACTGTCTCTATGTCCAACTTATTTTGAGGGTCATTGCATGAGATATACGTTTCACTCCTCAGTGTTGTGGACAGTTCTGGATATGCACATTCTACCAATGATCCACTTTGTTCGAGGGCACTACGTTCCTTGCTAAGGACTGGGAAGTTTCCACCTTCTTGTAAGTATTCAGTGCACGTGGTTCCTCGTGCTCCTGAAGTTCCTGCCATCTGTAATAGCTTCAAAAAAGAAGTGGAGCTGCAAAAGCTGCTTGTGTCAGTTCTTTCTGAAGTTTGAATAACCACAGAGTTCTCAGAAGAAACTACAGAACTCGGAGAAGAAGGCAAATCGTTTAATTCTTTTTTATCTTTGAAACCCATAAGTGTTGATTCATGATACAGATCTGAACCTTCTCTAGAAGAATCTGATTGCAGAATTACAGAATGTTCTGCTGACTGTATGCAATGTGTGCTATTTTCACTTGATTCAGAGCTGTTGACAGCTGTTTTTTCTTCGTTTGAATCTGTATTATAGACTCTCCAGGAATCCTGACATCGAGTTGACTGGTTTGCTTGATCTTCATGCCATCTGATAGAAACAATGGGATCTGTTGCACACACTTCAGGTTCTTCAATTATGATAGCTGTTCTCCGTTCATGCTTCTGAGTACTGCTTTTTGTCTTCAGAGGAAAGTGAGCAGCGAGTGACATGAATGCAGAACTGTAAAGTGGACAAAGTAAGTATTTTGGGGAAAGGTGGAGAAAGTAATATGTTGTAATCCATCTTTGAACTTTAGAAATTTGCTGGAGGACAGAAAAAAACCCAAAAACAGAATTTTATTCTTTCAGCTACCTGGAAAGGTGATCTGAAACATTCTGTGTAAGAAATACTCCAACTACGGAGTCCAGAACAGATCCCTTCCAAGGTGAGAAGCGCCTGTCTCCTGACTCACCCAGAAAAACAAAAAGAAAAATATAAATAATACTTATGGTTATAACAATGGATAAAAGCATGTGATTGACATCTTTTTTCTTTAATATGGCATGGCATGTTTTAAACTCCTAAAGTATTCCAAGGGGGAAAAATAGTAAGGGTACATGGAATCTTGGTGTTTAAGATTGATAATAGGTGTACAAGGTCAGCATTTAGCTTCTGCCTGACTTTTCAATAGTTTCTATGACCACATGGTGAGTCGCAGATTGAAGATATTAGCATGGCTGTTTGCTGATTGGATGTGATGTTTATGGATGCAGTGTCGTTACAGATTGAAGATATTCTCGTAGGATTGATCTCCTCATCCTTAACCTACTTCCTCTTTAGCGCATACACATGTTGATATGCATGTCAGGTTGGATTCAGGTTTCTTGCTTGAGCTGTTGCAAGTGCATGCGTTTTGTAAGTTTGAATTAGTTCTGAGTTCACTTAGCTGGTGTCAAAGTTGGTATGTGGTGAGATTCTGTAAAGTATTAGATCCATATTCTCTATCCTCCTTTTTTGGGGTTTGGGGGGTGGGGGTGGGGGGTGGGGGTGGGCGGGGTTGGGGGGCAAGCCATCTTCATATTTAAACCCTACACTTTTTTCTGGCTATATTTCTAATGAAGGGAACCTAGCAACCATTTTGAACTTAGCCACAAGGAAGGCTTGAAGACATTGTACAAATACCTTGGACAAGACGCATTCGCGCAATAAATGAGTCTGCTCTACTATTAAACACTCTACGTTCTTCTTCCCACCATTTTGCCTTGTCTTCATCTGTTCCATCAACGCCTTCACTGTTTATATTTTGCAGCAAAAGCTTCCATACCCTATCAGTCTCATCATCAACATCAACTTTTGGCCGTGGTTTTCGTTTCCTAACCAATGAACTTCCGAAAGGAACAATACTTCCATCTCTTTGATAAAGAACAAGGGCACTCTCCCCTTGAAACTTGGTGTGGTAGGTGACACTTCCCTGTTGACCTTGAATTTGGCTGCTTTCTCTATTTAAATCGAGACGCTGTAAGTGTTCTGCGATTTCATCAATTGGAGACATGCCTCTCCATGTTAAAGCTGGCGGGGGACCTGCATTCAATGTTTGTTAGCAACTAAAGAGTTATGATGTAATTGATTGTTTTAAGAATATGCCTTTTAAGTACCCCTTGCATTTGTTGTGAATTGTTGATGGATGTACATGTTGGAAGCTGTTGAGCTGACAAAGGTGCTTTTCTTTGATTGCTTTTTTGTCTTCATCGGTGCTCGGGTGTCCGCAATTGGAGCTTCCATGCATGCATTGGATAGATGTGAAGTCTTGTATCTTTCTCCAAGTCTGCATTTTGTTGCGTATTTGGATGTAGAAGTCTGAAATTGTTTGTAAATTTCACGCACAGATGCTAACTCATGCACTTGAGTTGCGCCTTTTGATCTCCTCTTCCTTAACTTCTCTGCTTCCACAACTGCTGGCACAAAATCGGAGTTCTGCAGTCTGTTGTAGGCTATATTGGTTGAAGAATTGTTGCTAGGGGAACCACTGATATTGCACTGCGATGAAAGCACATGGTTAATTTCGCTAGTAAAATGCTTAATGTAAGATGCTGGTGAGCTGTGGCCCTCTTCTGTTCTCTTTTTTTTGTAAATTGCAGGACAATGCATCCCTAGGCTACTATAAACTTCAGGTTTGTTTGCTGGAAGGATTGCTTGATAAGCCTGCATGGAATTGAAATACACTCCTCTGGCATTTAAGCTGTAGAATTGTGCTTCGTCAGTTCTATATGAACGCTGTCTCTTCAAGCCTTTCCCATGTGGCAAGCATGTGCTGCTGCTGCAGTTGGAACAATTCGGGCTCTGTGGTGTCATTTGTAGTATGCTTGCCTGTTTATCACGAGTTAAATCTGAAAAATTGATTCTATAATTTCCTCTTGTGCTTTCATTTTGATTACCAACCATGACTTCATCATGATTCCAGCCAACCTTGTCCAGAGATGGAGAACTAAGGTATTGCACTTCATGCTGTGACAAGTAATTTCTCAGCTCCTGGTTCAGGGAACAGTTGATGTTATAAGTTGTTCCCACTACTGTCTTTTCATTGGGGCCTTCCATACCTTGTCCAAGTTGTGCAGACTGTACACATTGTGCAGTTGATTCGGTTTGATTTGCATGCAAATCCAAAGTTGAGGGCCTGTATGATGAGTGTTCATCACTTGCTTGTCTTTCAAATTCAAAATTCAACGTTCTCTTGCAGGATTTTCTAGGAGGAGAAACCTTTTTCGGATCAGTTGTTCCACTGCTCCCCTCTTCAGAGGGTTTTTCTGTGCTCTTCTTAACTTGATTTCTTCTGACGTACTTCCTCTTTGCTTGTGGTGTTTCTTTGGAACTAGGAGTCTTTCCCTCATCAATTGTATTGTTTACCTCTTCAGCAGAAGTGGGTGCAGGGCTGCCAACCTTGTTTCTTCGGACATACTTCCTCTTTTCTGTTTTTGTCTCCAATGAACCAGCCTGCTTTTCGGTTCTTGGTTTAGGAGACCTTTTAGGCTTGCCTTCTACAACCACCTTGGGCCTGTGTTTTCTTCTTCTTGGTTTTTTCTCTGGTGTTGTATTATTCAGTTCACTATCCTGTTTGCCTTCCATGTCAAACTTGTGATTCTCCTGCAATTCTGATTGATTTAAGACCAGCTCCGACTGCTCTCTGCTCTGTTGGAGTTCATTTGCTTCAGCTCTCTGTATTGTATCTTCATTTGACTGTACACCTCTTGGTAATGTAGTAACATTAATGTCTAGGTTTGACGCATTAGATGCTTGCCCTTTACTCTTGATCAGATCTGGTGTTACTGGTTCGAGCTGGAATGGGACGTTGCTCAAGATTGCATCCGTCATTCTTAGGGGTGAATTCGAGTTGAAAGGGGAGCTGGGAAAAGTGGAGCTTCCATCTGCATGATGGATCCTCTTAAGTCATATTAGTTTATCAAGGAAATAATCCCAAAACATGAAGCAATAAATGTCTTTAGGTTGTGACATGTTAGCTAAACCATGATATTGTTTGATGCTTAGCCGAATTGTTTTCATTGAATGAAACCCAAACACAATATGTAGAAGCATGTGCTGTTGATTATAGATAAAAACCAATAATTTGACTTGGAATGAAATAGAAGAGCACTCAATTAGAGGAAAAACATAGTGTCATAAATCTTGTATGTAACCTTTTTGTTTCCGTTCTGATTTGTTATTCCAAATGCAACTTTATTGAGTACCCGCAAGAATGTTAAACTTCAAGCAAGTTCATGCATGCTTTAGTAGATGTAAGTTTCAATTTACCTGAGAACGTAATACTAAACTTGTTATATTTCATTCTCTAACGTTTTTCAGGTCTTAGTATGCACGAAGATGCTGTTGTGTTAATGAGGCAGGTAAAAGACACTCTTGACATATATTTGCAATGCAGTTGTCTGAAGCCTCGAAGGAATAGGGTCATTCCAATTAAACGAGATAGTGATGAATCAGTGAATACTTCATCTGTTTACCTGCACTCTGAGAACTGACGAGTGGTTTGAAATAACTCCTGGCACTATAAGCTGTATCATCTTTTGCATTTCCAGCTGCGGGCGTGGTGCCAGCAGCATGTGCCATCGCCAAGAGATCTCCGAAAGACACATTAGTCCACATGTCTACGTTATCACTAGAGAAGTTATTGCTCATCTTTATACCACCTCCAGACATTTCCGATTTTGTGCCTACAGCAGCTTCCCAGGTGGTGAAGCACCGATCTACTGTTACTGAACTTGTTGAACCATTGTAAGCAGCTGCATTTTGAGCTTCGGCTGTGGCGCCAGCAGCATGTGCCGCTGCTGCTTCTGCTTTTTTCATCTGCAACTCCAACCAATCAACTTGAGCTGGCTGGTTTTCCTGCCTATACTTGCTAATTGGTGGCAATGCCGCAAAACCTGGCTTCCCCGGAGTTGCTGGAATCCATGAAGTGTTGGTCTGTAAATCCTTAATTTCTTCAATCGAGCTGCCTTGGCCTACATCCATTTTGCAGCTCTGGAAAACTGGTAAAAATCCAATCTTTTCTCCCCTTTATCTTCTTCAATTTGACATAAACAATTTTTTATGAGAAAACTCAACCTTGTCCAGGACTTAGAGAAGATTATTAATTCTTCAGGACCAATTTTATTTTATGAAATTATCCTGCAAAAGCAACAATCAAAGATGAAATGACTCACAAATTAACCAAGAAAAGAAAAAGAAAAAAAGAAGAGAATTTGCAGGAACAAGAGAAGCAGAATATCAGTAACTCTACGAAAACGGAATTTATTAGCTCTTCTATTCAGATTTGTGAAATTACATCAATTGATTCCTTTTTAGCACAGATCCCTAAAGAAAAGCAGAACTTGTTCTGCAATGGAGGTAGTGTGTGAAGACCAAACCAGAATGTAGACTTTACAACAAAATAAGAAATCTTATTTTTGTCAAATTTAAGAAATTAGTAGGAAAAATTAAATCTTGATCAGTGAAAATTGCAGCAAACTGACAGAACAATAAAATCTGCATACAATCTTTAAAATTCCCATTTTGTTCTGCAATTTCATTATGTCTAATTTAGAAAAAAAAATGCATATATAACTAGTCAAGAAGTGTAATTTGGATTTAGAAAGCTTAGTCAATTTTACTCACCTGAGAAATGGATAATTGACGGAGATCTCATAGAAGCAGAGTATACCATTAAAGAGAGTGAGGGAAAGTAGGAAAAAGACCAAACAGAAACGGCAAGGCATTATTCATAGACTGGAACAAAAGCTCTTTGAACCGATAATTTCTTTCTCGGTAAACTACAAAAAAATAACCATTATTAATATATTTATAGTGTTCTTTTAATTACTGTGTGTGTTAATAACTCAGTGTGGCAGAAACATTTATAGTTAGGGGTTTAAAGTTAATGATATATCTGCACTTAAACGATAAAAACGCCGTGAGTTGGCTAACCGAGAGTTGACCACGTGAGTGAAGTACCATCGGATAGGAGAGTGGTTTTGCTTTGCACGTATTTGTGCTATTAAGATGTTTTTTCTTTTTTGGTTTAAAAGATAGACATATATTAATATTAAGCAATGCGTACGGAGGGTGACTGCTTATATTGCAGCCTGTTACATGATTTGCACCAACTGTGGGTGCTAAAGGATTATAGAGGTTGATATCAGTACTACTAACCGTTGCATTACTATTACAATACCTATTTACAATATTAAGATTATCAGAGCGAGGCTGGTATTGTTCCAAAATAAGTTCTTGCACTGCACTCTTATCTTGTTCAAAAACTGAGCATGCAAAAGCTGGGCTAACATCCAAAACATGCACTGTTGAGTAATTTTCAAAATTGCAGCCCGCCTTTGCTAGTTTATCTGCAACCCTATTTTGCTCTCTGTACGCATGTAGTACTACAGGTTTACCTAACCTGTCCAGGAAGTACCTGCAATCAGTAGCCAAATTATTGTGTGAGACATTTTTTGAAAAAAGAATTGTTATAAGTTCTTGAGAGTCCACTTCAACCTCCAGCGGAATAAGGCCGTTTGAGTAAGCTGCAGTCTCTGCAACAAAGCACGTAATTCAGATGAAATTGTTGAGTCTCTTGGGACTGCTCCTGAAAATCCCAATATCCACTCAGCTTTAGAATTTCGTATAAGCCCTCCAATCCCAGCTTTATTCGTTGTATGTGCTCCATCAGTGTTAAGCTTGAAATATAAATGTTTAGGAGGTTTCCATTTTAGATTTTGTTGTCTCTTTTTGACACAAGTATGCTTCTTAGCTACAAGATAAGTGTATTCAGCCGCTTGTTGAGTAGTTAACTTTGCCCAAGCAGTTGATGTATTATGTTTGTAACAGTTGTTATTGCGTGCTAACCAAATATTCCATAAGCTCAGGGGCAAGTATGTTTTTGGATTGATATGATAAGGAAAATGTAAATCCTTACAATGTATGAGATCATGCACCCAACTATCATTGTTTGTATATCGTAGTTTAGAGTTAATGTAATCCCAAATACCCAACTCATTCCAAGAAGCTCCGGCGTTTGCACAGTTCAAAAATAGTGGGCAATTGTTTCATCCTCTTGATGGCAGAATTGACATGTAGCATCTTGAATCAAGTTAATATGTTTAAGGTATGCTTTGGTAGGTAATCGTCTCCTTTGGAGAATCCATAGAAACCCTTTAATTTTTGGTATCACAGGAAGTGTCCATATCCAGCTATACTTTATTGAATTAGTAAGATACATATCCTGATTAGTTTCTAAGCTATTGTACATGGATTTAGTAGTGAACCTTCCCGAAGAAGTTAACCCCCAGAAAATGTTGTCAATTTTATTATTGCATTTGGATATATAAATAGCTTGAATTATTCGAATAATGTTAAAGGGTAATTCAAAAGGCATTTTATCGAAATTCCAGTCATTATTATTAATAAAAGAAGCGATATTAATATTCTGTTGGTTTAATGGTAAAGGACTATATATTTGTGATTTAATTGTTGTGCCCGGTCCAATCCATGAATCTTCCCAAAACCTAATATATGAGCCATTACCTATGTTCCATTTTATGTCACGCTGACATTGATGCCAGCCTTGAGTAACATTAGCCCATATTTGAGAGTGAATATTGGTAGGAGAAGCATGAAGATATTTATTGAGAAGGACCTTAGCCCACATAGCATGTGGTGTTTTAAATAATCTCCAAGCTAGACTCGCCAGCAAAGCATTATTTTTTTGACGTAATTTTTGAATCCCTAAGCCTCCTACCTCCTTATGTCTCGTAATCTCCTTCCATCTAACAAGGTGTAATTTCTTCCTTTCTAAGGTAGTACCCCACAAAAAGTTCCTTTGGTATTGATCCATTTTATTAAGAATATGTGCCGGAATGTGAATGTATTGCATGATGTGATTTGGTAATTGATTAAGAGTAGATTTTATTAAAGTAGCTCTTCCTGGAAACCTTGATTTCCATCCTGCTAACTTATTTTTGAAATTGTCAAGGAGGAATTGGAAATCCGCATTTTTAGGTCTTGCCTGAAACATAGGAAATCCCAAGTACTTTCCAAAAGAGGTACATTCCTTAATATTAAAAGAAGTAATAACAAAAAATTTATCAAAAGAGCTACAATTCTTAGAGAAGAAAAGTTTAGATTTTTCAAAATTAATTTTTTTGTCCAGAATAGTTACAGAAATTATTTAACACATCGTTGATTGCATGACAGCTTTTTGTAGTAATCTTTGAGAATACAATGATATCATCTGCGAAGAAAAGATGAGATAGAAGTGGACCTTTATTGGACAGTCTGATCGGTTTCCAATTTAAATAATCTACAGAGAGGGAAATGTTTCGTGAAAATAGTTTCATGCACATGATAAATAAATAGGGTGATAGAGGATCCCCTTGACGAATGCCTCTTGTAGGTGTAAAGTATTGAGTTTTTGAACCATTTATTAATATAGATATTGAGGTGGTTGTGACACACGACATAATTAAGGAAATCATAGAGGGAGGTATATTAAAGTAATATAGAGCACGTCTTATAAAAGACCATTCTAATGTGTCAAAGGCTTTCTCTAAATCAAGCTTTAATAACATAGAAGAGTATTTGCCTTTCATTTTAGCCAGATAATTGATCGATTCTTGTACTATTATAGCATTGTCACATGCTCGTTTGCCTTGCTGGAAACTAGATTGTGTAGGTCCTATAATTTTACTAATAATTGGCTTAAGTCTATTAACAATTATCTTGGTAATAATTTTATAAACAGTATTGCAAAGGCTAATAGGTCTAAATTGCTGTAATTTTGTAGGATGCTTTACTTTGGGGATAAGGCATAAAAGAGTTTTGTTAAGTTCAGGAGGAATGATTTTTGAATGGAAAATATCCTGACAAAACGTACTAACTTTATCACCTACATCGGACTAATATTTTTGATAGAAAAAAGGATGTAACCCATCCGGACCAGGTGCTTTATAAGCCTTGAAACTATTTAGAGCAACAAGGATCTCATCTTGTTGAAGAGGTATATCAAGAGTAATGATATCATCATAAGGCAGTTCACATGTGTAAGTATTTTCCTTTAAGAAATTATCAGATAGTAATAGATCAGTTTGAAAAATATTATTGAAGTAGGTATTAATTAAATCATGAATTTCATTAGGCGTAGTTACCCAGTTGCCTACACTATCTTGTAATGCATTAATTCTATTTTTACGACGCCTATGGAGTGTGGAGAGATGGTAGAACTTAGTATTCGCATCCCCTTCATTTAACAATTTATACGAGATTTTAATTGCCAAAACTCCTCTTCCATGCGAAGAATATGGGATAATGTATTGAGGATTGCAACCGTGCTAATCTAGCGAGAATGTTTCTTTTTTGTTGGAAAATATTTCCAAAGTTGTTTTGGTTCCATCGAGTGACTACTATTTTAAAGTTAGCAGTAGTATCTAATAAAGACAAATTATTCGACCAAGTCATATGAACTAGTTGTTGAAATTGAGGGTGAGATGCCCACATCGTTTCAAACCTAAATATTCTTTTTTGTATAGGTTGAGGAGGTTCTAATTGAATTAATAGAGGGCAATGATCTGAATGGGTACGGCAAGTGTATCACAGTTGTGTTTGAATACAAATTTAATCAGTCATAATTAGCTAAAAAGCGATCAAGCCTTTCTAATATCGTATGACCATTCCTTTCTTTATTAGTCCATGTAAAGCGACTTCCCTGATAACCCAAATCAATTAGAATACAATAATGCATGCAATTAGCAAATTTATCTGCCCTATTATTATTCATAGGGAGACCTCCAAATTTTTCCTTAGATTCTAGTATCTCATTAAAGTTTCCCCCTATTAACCAAGGCATGGAAGTATTATCATGCAGATTAACTAAATTGTTCCAGAGAATATCACGTAATTGGTAGTGTCGACTAGCATATATAGCAGACAATATCCAAGAGGGTTTTGTGGGACTAACCTGGACCATGCAGTGTATTTCCTGATCAGAGATCCTCATTTCTGTTACATTAATGAGATCAGCATTCCACAGCACCACTAAGCCTCCTATGAGCCCATTTGCAGGAGCTTGAGCCATATTACCAAAGTTAAACTCCTCACGTAGACTTGTATGATCGTGCATGTGAGTTTCAAGTAAGATAGCAAGAGTAGGTCTATGATTATCTAGTAGAGACCTAAAGTGCCTCCTAAATTCTGGATTGTGGTGCCCCTACAGTTCCAATCTAAGAAGTTCATGTAAGAATTAAGGTTCCTGGGCTGGGACATAGGAGTCTGAGTCACTGGAGGATCCAGGCTCAGTGGAAGTTGAAGAAGTGTTGGTATGATCACCATAGCATATTTCCCTACTTCTGAATTTGTGGTTTGGCGAAAATTAAGGCTGCATGTAACCATTTTCGGTGGACACTTTAGAATAAACTTTTTTTCGAACTGTTCTTTGAGGTTGTAAAATTGGATCCCTTTTAACCACCAAAACTCTGTTCTTGTCTCCCTCATCTCCGCAAGAATTGCTATCAATTCCTCTCTTGTGTCTCTGTCTAGTTCTTGTGGAGATGGAGGAGGTGAGTGAACTGGGCTGTTTGGTGGTGTAAGACTTTCTAGGGGACTCAGTGGGATGGAATAAGGAGAGAGTGGATTGAATGAGTCCAGGGGCTGAAACCAAGGTGCAAATACCTGACCCATATGATGGGGTGGGTAAAAGGGTAGGAGACTTACTGTTTGTTCCCAAGCTGGACTCATTTGTGCCATTTGATGTGTCCATGGCTGCTGAATGGAACTCGAAGCCTGTTGTTCCATTGGAAGAGGAGTCTGAGTTGTGTACCATTGAATTTGATTGAATA